TGGACACTGCATATGACGCTGTTAGGAGGAAGTCCACCCCACCTTTTCTCGTTATTTTCACGGCTTTCGTCCACCGATTTCGCACCTTCGGATCGATTGGAAACATGTAAATACTTACACTATGACTATACGCATTACTGCAACCGCCCACAACACAACGTTTAACCATCATAAAAGTTTGTTGTGAAAACAACTTCTAAAAATTCGCTCTCTCAAAAATAAAATAAAATAGACAAAAGAAACGCCGATTAAAAAATGTATATCGTTTAAAAGTACAGTTGTACGTTGAATGACACAGTGATATAAAAGTACGGCCCAGGGGTATGGCTTCCTCTCATATTTTTGCATTTGGTGGCGCCCTTTCGGCGAGAGTCGGAAATCCGGAAACAGTCGACCGTTTCAGGATAGGTGGGCGTGGCTACAGCACGGGAAATATCTCAAATTTACTTGGATACGAGTAATCATATTCAGCAAAAAAATCAATAATTGCCCATTTCAGTGGGGCACAGATCTAAAATGGAAAGCGTGTGGGTGGGCATTGCACAGGCACTTTAAGCAACGAATTTGAGGGGATTGTTGTATTCAGATCGCAAAACGGACTCACCCATTAGATTGTCTGAATCTCTGTGAATGACGCTGACATTATAGAAAAAATATAGAGTTGAACAATAAAAATGTTGGAATGTAAAAAAGGCAATTACTCTGTTCTTAAGTTTTGAGCTGGATTTTTTACTACGGTGCAGCTGTAATATTGTATTCGCTCTATTATAGGAGTAAGTTATTTTTTTAAACGTTTGTTTTATAAAATTTTCTCTGTATATTGTTTGACAAAACCTACTCACGAGTTTTTAAGGTAGAAGCCTACTCATAAATAAAAAGACCCAGAATTTATTCATTTTGCAATAAATTGTACTTCAAGCCAATCTAAGAATATTGACCTAAAAACAAAATGGGGGTCACCAGCCTTTTTTTTTCGAGAAATTGATGGTTCTATTTTTTAGTGGAAAGTCGTCATTTTGACACTATTATAACACTTTTACCACAGGTTCCTATGAGATATTAAGCAATATTTCAAAATCTAGCCTGGCGACATAGGCTGAAGAAATCATATATTGTTAATGATGGAGTACTTTTTGTTGTTCTGAATTATTTAACAAATCTGGGTTTTAAAAGTGTCAAAAAATGCATTTTTTTGTGTTCTGGAATTGTTCTAAAATAGCAATTTTCAAGAAATATTAGAACACATTTATCAAAAAGCATAACTGTACTGTAACACACAAAATAATGTCATTTTATTGTACCATGGAACATTAGCTTCATGATTGTACATAATAAACTAATGAACATTGTCATGCGATTTATGACCAATTTTGTCAAAAATTATGACCAGTATAGGCTTCTACCTTTTAATGAAAAATCCCCGATAGAATAAATATCACCGCGCGCATCGCGCATGATTGTTAAACATCTAAACGCTAAAAAGGGTAAAGAGAATACCCGTGTTTATATTAATATAATCCAGAACACTCAAAGGGATAAAAGGTGTTTAAATATTATCGATCCGTCATTATGAGATGACCGCGATTGGTCATATGTTACATTAGCCCCGCAATCATCCGCCCATGCGACATGATACATTGAGTGATATGATGCCAAGTATGTCAACAGATGCCAACTCAATACAATGCACAAACTATTTACCATTATGCCCGCGGCAGACTCCGTACTCAATTGCAAATGTAAAACGGTATAGATATTTATCTGAAGCAGATGACTTATGAGTTCGCCTGGCGTCTGCTAAAAGATGAGATGTGTTAAAATGTGTGTTACTCTTTCACCAAGTATCGCTCTCGGTAAATGATTTGGAACATGGTTCCGGTGGTAGGTGTGACGTCACAAATAATACAATAACATCCATTATTGTTAAGGTAAGGCACCTTTAATGTGTCTGTTGGTAACTTTATCCACATTGCATTATATAGTTATATAATATATTTGGGACAATATAATACAGGAAAGGTTACACCATACATATACTTTGTGCCTCAGTAAAATGTTTTAATTATGTTGGATATGGCCAGAAACGGGCCCACTATGCTCCTTCACATAACGTTTACAGCTAGTGTTTATCGGAGTTAAAGGGAATGTTGGCATAAAACATCTTTTACACGTGGCGGGGTATCCTAGATTTCATGATGTAAATTACAGTTTTTGGAAGAATGAGCTATGTTATGAGCGTTGCTTGTTGAATTATGACGTATCATTCATGTGAGAACGGTTTTTGGCTGCGTTGACTCCCTTCCGCCGAAAGACAGCCTGACTGTATCCACGGAAGTTCTTTCTAAACATAAAAGTAGGCTTTTTTTTTAGCCGTTCATTTCAAAATCCTATTTTTAAAAACCAAATGTCACTAATACAGGTAAAGCTCTGAAAATCACAGCTAAACTCTAAACCTAAATTGCTTACTGCTAATTAATTCATTGAAATTACGCATTGTGTCAACACAGGTGGCGCTATTCA